TATTTCCATAGTTATGCTTAATTTTCACTTCTGTGAGAAAGATGACTGCCAGAGACGGGCACAGTCCTGGGTTGGAGACAGAAGGCCCAGCTCTGTTTCTGCTCTTCGCCCAGACTTGGTGCATGACTTCCTGCATGCCTTTTCTCTTCTGAAAACAGTTATAATTCATAATCAAAGGGCCGAGACCAAAGTTACATCACAGAATGGATTTTTTTTTGTTTTATCATCAGGACTACCAAAAAGTACAATCTAGTCTATTCACTTTATTTCCTCTGAGCAGCGGCTGGGCAGGAGCCGCCAGCCATGGTCCTGAGCGGGGCATGGTAGTGGGATGCTGTACAGGCGTGGAGTCCCTCCCCTGAAACGGGAAGAGGCCATGCAGTCTGCAAATGGTGGGTTATGTTGGAACCAACAGGGTTGAGAGAACTCTTCTGCTGCCTTTTTTCACACTCCAAGTACACGCAGTGGCATGATCTTAAATTGAACATTTTAACGTTCAGTGTTTACTTCCACTGTGTATATACTGTCTGAGTTTTATTTAAGACAGGATCTCATTTTATCTCTATCTGGCTTTTTCGTCTTCCATGTGAGAGTGACCATGGAGTTCTCCAATCTTTGATGCCTCTGATAGCTTGAGGGGGCTTGCAAAGTGGGGAACCTTCTCGCTCATTGGTTTCAGATGATGTTTTCTTTGCCCTGGGAAGATGTGGGAAGCATGCATTTGTGCGTCTCATTGCAGCTACATCCAGAGCTACTCTTAATGAAAAGACACCAGTGGACTTTGGAGAATGGGGAGGGGGTACGAATTTTAGAATATTAGAGCTAAGAGACGTCTTGAAGACATCTAGGTAATTCCTTACTTAATAGAACTTATATAATTGTTTATTTTAAAATTGTTTTAATTTCTAAACCACTTTTGCTGTTTTGAGAGATAGTCATACCTTAGATCTTTATCCCAGCTCAGGAAGTGGGTTTTATTTGCACTGAAAGGAAATATTTGGGGCTTTTAATATTGTGGTTTGGGTCATCAGGCTGATAAATTTTTAATATTTTACATAATGTGCCCAGTATTTGAGAATTCTGGTGGCCAGCTGAAGAAGATGAGCTCATTTCACTTATCTTCTGTGGTTTTGAAAAAATCGTAATAAACTTGGTGATCTGTCCTTCCACGAGGGAAAAAGAGTAGATAAGAATTTGCCAGCATTTTAATGCCAGAAATCCCGAGCCAGAGTAATGAGGAGCAGATTTTCATAAGTTTAATGGGCACGAGGAGACGGTGCTGTTGCCTAATACGGCTTCAGTAAATGCAGCGTTCTGCTCATCACGTCGATTTCTGCATCTTCAGAAAGACTGGTTGCAGTGTAAACTGCACGTGGATGAAAGTTCTCCAGCAAAAGGGAAAAGCACCAGCATTTAAAGCTGGCATCTCCCTTTGGTGTGAAACATACTTTAGTCTTTTTTTTTATTATTATTGACTCAAATATAAAAATAAACAAACAAATAACCTCAGGTCTATTTAATCTCAAATGATCGGTTTCACTCTAAAGTCACCTGTGTTCTTTATCAGTTTATGTTTCTAGTCAGAATGTGCTTTCAAGTTTACATTTCTATGTAGAAATGGCAGTTGCATAATATTTAAGACTATAGAGAATGCCGTCTTATGAATGTGCTGTAGTTTTTAATCATTTCCCCATTGTTGGACATTTCAGAGGGTACCAAGTTTCCACTGTTCTATAAATAGTGTTGCTGTGAGCAATCATTATATAGTTTTTGTCAGAAAGAAAGGCCAACTTCCTTGAAGCAAGTTCCTAAAAATGGAAATACACCCGGTTACGTGTATATTTCTTCTTACTCTATTACTAACATATTTTCTGTAAATGTTAATTTTTTCTTTTTTTTTTTTTACAGCTCCCACCAACTTTGTGATTTATCTTTTTATTTGCTTTTGCTAGTGATGACAGATGTGTGATAAATCTCAATTGTTTTCATTCGAAGTTTTCAGATTTCTGGAGAGGTGGTGTTTGCGTGTAGATGATTCATGGTCTATCCTTGTGTGCTGCTTTACCATAGAGGGTCCAGGTACTAATCATATATTCATATGAATTCTTCATATATCTGGAAAAGTAAACTTTTAAAAAAAGTCTTATCACTACAGTAATAGTGTCAAGAACTTACTAGATGCCAGATAGGATGTTTAGCACTTTTCATACATTGTCTAATTTAATCATGACATGGTCCCTGCCACAGGACACTGTTACACGGCGGTTAAGAGCAGAGTCAGATAGCCCTGAGTCCAGATTCTGGCTCTGCCACTTCCTCCTCGTGACCGTTGATGAATTACATAACCTTTCTGAGCCTCACTTTCCTCTGCTATATAATGGGGATCGTAACTGTACCTACTTCACAGTGGGGTTGGCATGAGGACTAAGTGAGATAACATGTTTCTAGTATACGCACATACTGACTACTCGATAAATGTTAGCTGCTACTGTGGTCATTTTTTCTTCTAGGGTTAATCTGTGTTTGTTTTTCAGTCTGACACATAGGACAGTGCGATGATAGGGTAGCGCACATGCACTGTTCTCCATTCTGATAATGAACGTGACTGGGTCTTTTGAGTCAGTGCTCCCTACTCATGGAGGTCTTTGCCAATCCTGCAAATCAGCGTTAGCCTGTCCTTCTCATTACTTCCCTAGCATCTCATGAGTTTCCTGGGCGCCGTCACAGGACTGTGGTTCCGCGTGTGCACTAGCCTTTCTCTCGGATGCGCAGATGCCCCACGTCAGAGGCCTTGCCTTAGACTCCTGTATCCACTGCATCTCCTACAGCTCCTCACACGCTCCAAAGTGTCCCTGATTAGATGCTTAACGAGTGACTGTACTTAAGTTTGAAGATCAAGTTTGTGCGAAATAAGTTTGAAATCACTAGTTTCTATTTTGGTAGATAGCACGTTTTGAACCACTCTTCGGATTTGTAATAAGAAAGTCTTTTTGAGGAAAAAGCTGTTTTTCTTAATCTAGCACCTGGGCATGTTTCTTAAATCCTGAGAATACTGGCAACACGCAGTAGCTTGCTGGAGTGCGTGGTGTCCCGGAGATTGTGAACTGTTGTGCTTGTCGCTCAATACTATTCTATAGCATCAAGCAAAGTTTTCGTATGCGTGAAAGTTCTCCGTGCCTTCAGCCTTTGTGCTCTGTTTCCATGGCTGGCAGTGTTGCTAGAGACAGGACCTAAACAAAACCAGTCACATGGTCCTGTAGGATACTGGGAGGGGGACCGTAAAGCTGTTGGTTTCATAGAAATTGATAATCAGTGCTTAATACTCTACTGCAGATTATTTCAAATTCTCTGGCAAACTGGTCTGCTCACCAAAACCTATAACATACCCATCAAGGAAGCCAGCTGTGCCAGGCTGATGCCAGGGATGGGTGCCTGGGATGGGTGTTGACTCTGCAGTTGTCCTGGCCGAAAGCCAAGGGGGAGCCGAGGCCTGTGTGAAATTCCAAGCAGGAGAAAGTTCTCAGAGAAACCAGAGAAGCCCAGTCGATGTTCAAGCCTGGGGGGTAATCTTAGGACAGAAGGTAGAAACTGAAAATATCAGATGAGGAAGCAGGGGGTTGCTGTCCAGGATCAGGGGTGTTAACAGGCCTACGGGGTTCAGAACACTCTCTTGTTGCAGTTCCAGCCCCGTGGCACGTGGTGGCTTGGTTGGTTTAAAGATGCCAGCTCTCTGTGGGACTTGGAGCAAATCTGCTAAACTCAGAGAGCTTCTGACTTATAAGGTGGTTTTGGACTGGATGATTTAAAAGGTTCATGAAGTCCCAGCTCTAACATGCTATTCCTTTGCTTGTTTTATTACTTTGATAGCATTTAATGTTTACATTTTTAACTTGCGTTTCTATATTTTGAGGTCTTTTCCTAGCTGGTGTTGGCATGTAGTTCTGATACCCATGTGTTCACGATACAAGCTAATGATGCTAAATTAACTTTCGCGGTAATTCGGTGATTACAGTGGCTTCGTTAAGGAACTTATTACATTTAGATCAGATTGTGCAAAGCTATAGGAAAATGTTTAAACCAGGAAATAAATATCTTTCCTAAAAGTAGGAATGTTTCAATGCTTAGTACATTGTTTAAAAATACTATTTTTAGATGGCTCCTCTAGGAAAGATGTGTTCTGACATAAGGAACTCGTGCTGGCCATGAGAACAGAGAGAGGGCAGGGTGGCGCTGGCTAAGTCAATGATGGGGCGGAAACCGAGGTACAGAAGTCATCATTGCTCTTAGAGATATAAGATCTGGTTGGAAAGAAATTCTATCGGGGCATGCAGAGTACACAGATTTCCTTTGGGTATCGTGGTAATCCATTAAGTTAATTAGCTGTTTTTACTAGACCCCATTACTCATAAGAGAGCATTGTGTTGGTTCTTTCAAATCCACACACCTACCTGCCCAGGAAGTCCTCTTGCTGGTATGAAGCTGGGCTGTTCACCTTGATAACCCCTCCAATCGGCTGCATTTCCAGATCGTTTACCCAGGGCTTTGTTGAAAGGCCGCTGCCGTCCGCCCGAATCCCATCTGCCCCGAATCCTCATTAGGAACACCCCCTCGGCAGCCCTTGCTCCGCCAGTCTCTGGGGACCCTGGCTCAATTTGCCGCGCCGTCTAGATAAATGTCTCTGGAGTCAGTCTGTGAAAAGGAAGGTGAGGAAAATAGTGGCAGATGCTGTCTTTGTCTGGAACGATGGCCTTCCTGCCATAACCGTGAGGACGCTCTCCATGGTGATGCAGATGGGAAATTAGGCAGGGCTAGGGGCCCTGAGCCAATTCTGCTGTTCTCCTGGCACATTTGTTCCCTGACTCCATTGTCTGTAGACCCTTCGCTTCCTCATACCTGCCCTTCTCCCCGCCTCCCCCATCCCTGAGCGCTGTATTTCTCCGTGAAGTGGTCCCATTCTTAAGGCAGATCTCATTAATGCATTTTTCTCTCTCCTCCTGCAGGGGAGTTGCTGAGTCAGCCCAGACCAGAAGGAGTGGCAGAGATCATTTGCCCCAAGAACGGCAGCGAGCGAGTGAATGTTGCCTTGGTCTACCCACCCACACCAACTGTGATCAGCCCCTGTTCCAAGTGAGTTCTGAACTGCCCTTAGACCCCCCCTCCTGATCCTGCCTCGGTGGGTGTGATAACCAAAAGCCAAGTTAAGGTACCTCTCAACAAACCTTGAAAAGCACCCCAGGGTAGACCTGGTCATCTGGGTGACATCGACACCATGGCTTATGCAGCCAACTAGAAACTTTTTTTTATTTGTCATTTTCTTTTTTTCTTACTTTTGCTGATGAAAGTCAGAAGACTTTTTAACAGCTTTCTGGAGGTATCATTCACATACCACACAGTTCAAAGTGTCTAATTCATTGGTTTTTACTGTATTTGCCAGGTGTATGCAACCACAAAGAGCAGTTTTTTGATGGGTAGTCTTAATTCTGTCATTGCAGAATTAAGTAGGCGCTCACTTCAAAGAGCAGTGAGGGCCCGTTAAAAAGGAAAATCCTATGGAGAATCTGTAATTGATGATTTTTTGCCACGGGGCCCAGATTCTCTATCAGTCCTTGATAATCAGCAGCTGTGCAGTTTGAGCCCACCTTCCCCAGAATGGACTTAAGACAAAGGTACACATGCGAACTAACTTTTGGATAGAATATTAGCTTAGTATTATAGGTAAAACTCATCCTGTTTATTTTTTTGTGGTATTAAGAACCAAACAGTCCACTCTTAAACTGAGATGGATACTTTGTTAGCTCAAATCTTGAAAAGTGGTGGCCGCAGGTCTCCTTGGAACAGATCTTGTTATCTGGGTGTATCAGCAACATGAGTTAGATGGCAAGGTATTCCTGCAGGAAACTTTCATTTTTCTTCCTAGTTGGCCACATAGAATTTTTTTTTTTTCGTATGTAAGCTTTTTATAGGCAGGTTGGAAAGTTTGCATTTGAGGGACTTGCTGTTAGGCTGCCTTCCGGAGAGCTATGTGTGCTGGGAGCTCATGGCCCTGAGGGGTCAGCTTTGCCTCCTTTGGTGTGCTCTCTGCAGAGCGAGGGGCTGCAGTGGCATCTCATCCTTTAGCAACTGCAGTAGAAGGGGCTGCCCCTTTTCTCCAAACCGGGTACTCATTAGACAGAACGTCTCTAATCTCTCTCAGCTGGGAAATATCAGCGCAGACCCAGTGGAAACTCTCATCTGACGCTGTTATATTCAGAATGCTATTTTAGCCAGTGTCCGTGGTAGACTTCATCACAGTAGGACCCTAAGACAGTGTGAAATCTTCAAGTGCTTCTTAGGATCACATAGTGACTTCATATTAACCAGAGCATCCCTATCCTGTATCAAACAACAGAAGTGTTAGTGTTCTTTGAATCCATGTACATTGGTCCTTTTCGTTCAGATACACGTAGGGCAAAGATAAGGGATATTAAAGAAACAGCAGGATATGGAACGGACGGAACCCTTGTTCAATACACCTTGCATTGGCATAGATTTTCCTGAGCCAGGAGAGACATTAACCTATTGTTTTGCCATAACCACGAGGCATTTAATAGGCAAGGGAGAGGTAGGAATTATTGTATCCATTTGCACAAGAAACCAGTGGCCCGGAGCCAGCTTTATCGGTGTTTTCCCGTGGGCTTCTTGTTGTGTCGCCACAGAAGGAAATTGATGCCAACCTGAAACAGTGCTGTCAGCCCCTCTCTCTCACAGTTTGTTAGACCTAAACAAACAAGCAGCTTGAAAGTCTTGGATAATCAGAGCCACATAGACTCAGACGTCTAGATGCTGGAGGGAATACCTTTAGGGTTAACTGCTTTTGACCTAGCTATGTAAATCGTTTTATTTTCAAATGGGTAAAAAAAAAAAAAAAAGCTCTCATAAAATGGATGGCAAATGTAGATTATGTGTCTCAACTCTAAATAGAGGAATATTCTCTAGATAGGAATGTTTCATATTTCTGGCAAGACTTTTCTTGGAAATTACCAATTTGTAGTATGGAGGCAAAGGAAGAACTATCTCTCTTGAGGCCATTTGTATAAAATCCACTTGGATTCAAAACCCCTGTTGGCACCATCTGGTTTAATGCAACCCTCCGCTGCCAAGCACACACAGCTCATATCCATGAAGAAGTGGGAGATTTGGGGCATCAAAGAGGAAAGCTGTCACAGGAGGTGGTCATTAGGTCAATGCAGTTTGGATCTGAACATGACATTTATACTTGGGGTCCCAGAAGGCACTAGAAATTGGGAGACTGGGGCTATTGCACTGGCTAAGTTACCTTAAGCATGTCACCGCAGAGTGATCTTTTATTCTCTATCATCCCATAAAACACAGGTGGATGGTAAGAACCCGGTTTTCATAATCAGGCCAGGTATACCAGAATTGCCAAAGGGACGGGCCAGGCACAAGTCTTTAAAAAACAACAAAAAAGAGCCACCCAGGTGAATCTAATGTGTGTAGGCTGGACTTCCTGATCTCAGTTTCCTCCGTGGTTCCAAGGGTGGGCTCCCCAGCCAGTGGGCCTTATTTTTCACCATAGGGCCTCTCTCTGGTCAATAACCAATTGGCAGCAGCAAGGCAAAACTGATCTATGCTGTGTGAATCCGCACAGTCCATTCCACCCTCAATTCACCCTCATGGCTGAATATGTAATGTATTGTTCAAATCAAGAAAGGATTGAGAGGGACAGGAGGGCTGTTAATAATTATACTGGGGCAACAGGCATCAACAGAGCCATCCCAAGCAACCAGCATAATCATCCCACTTCCAGGTCACTGATCTAGATCTTACGGTGGTTTTTAAAAAGACATTCCAGGCTCTTCTGTGACTAGTTTAGTCTTCTCCTTTATAGGTCAAAGCAGAGACTTGTCACGTAACTGCCTGCCTTTGACCATGTGTAAAATAACGGTGCTCCAATGTGCTTTCTAAAGAAACACCATCAATGACTGCTCATTGGATTGGATCTTCCTTATGAATTCTAAGCTTTTCCATTTCTCATTTTACACCTTTCCTAGGTATTTTATTCCCCTGTGGAGAAAGACAGAGAATGAAGAGTGGGTAGCGATTTTTTTAAAAAAATGTTATTTACTCTCATAACTTGTCTTGGTGGTTGGTGGTTCCCGTTGGGAGGAGGTTAGATGCACTGGATAAAATGCTCTCCTCCTGCACCTCACCCTCCAGGCAGAAACTCAGGAGCTGAGTGGCTTCTTGTCCCCTTTGCCGATTATCAGGTAGAAATAGGAGTCATTTCCGTACTTGGGCTATCCTGGGCTGATTATCAAGGAAATCTGCTTTTGAGATGACATGAAAATTTATGTGGTAACAATTTGCTGGGTTGCTCTGAAAAATTCTGACCTCCTTAAGGATACGGATTGATCTGATACATTTTTAAAAGCTTTATTGAGGTATACGTTCATCCCATAAAGCTGCCATTCACTGGTTATTGATACGTTTACAGAGTTGTGCAACCATCACCACAATCTGGTTTAGAACATGTTCATCAGTCCAAAGAGAAACTTCACGCCCGTTTGCCATGACTTGCATCTAGTAAATGAATATTTGTAGTGTCCCTTTCAGGAATGGTTTGGCTGCCTGGTGTGTTGCTATTAAACAGGTTTGTGAATTTTAAAGAAATTCTTATAAACACATGTTGTCCCAGGCCCAGTTCAGTGTAAAGGGGCATGACTTGCACCCCGTACTGCCAGCCCCCTGTTTCCTGGACAGTAGAGAGGAAGTGGAGCTGCTCGGAGGGGATCCGTCTTCCTCAGAACTTTCTTTTTAGTATAGGTAGATGACTTTTTTCTTTATATATATGAAGATTAACCCTGAGCTAATATCTGCAGACAATCCTCTTTTTGCTGAGGAAGACTGGCCCTGAGCTAACATCCATGCCCATCTTCCTCTACTTTATATGTGGGATGCTGCCACAGCAAGGCTTGATAAGCAGTGCTAGGTCTACACCTGGGATCCAAACCAGTGAACCCTGGGCCACCAAATCATAGCGCGTGAACTTAACCGCTATGCCACTGGGCCAGCCCCAAGGTAGGCATTTTTTAAAACATAAACTTTATTTTTTAGAGCAGTTTTAGGTTGACAACAAAGCAGAAGGTACAGAGAGATCCCATATATCTCCTGCCCCCACACACGCACAGCCTCTCCCACTATCAACATCCCTCACCAGAATGGTGCATTTATTACAGTTGATAAATCTACATTGACTCATCATAATCACCCAAGGTCTATAGTTTACCTCAGGGTCCACTCTTGGTGTTGTACATTCTGTGGGTTTGGACAAACGTATAATGACATGTATCCACCATTACAGTATCATACACAGTATTTTCCCTTCCCTAAAAATCCTCTGTGCTCCTCCTATTTATCCCTCCTACCCCCTTTACCCTTGGCACCCACTGACCTTTTTTTTTCAGCTTTATTGAGATATAATTAACAAATAAAATTGTAAGATATTTAAAATGTACGTCGTGGTGATTTGATGTACGTATACATTGTTAAAAGAGTCCCACAGCTAATTAATTAACACATCCATCACCTCTCATATTTATCCTTCAGAACTTCTGAATGACAGCCTAACCGAGCCCTAGACATTAAAGGGATGCTGAGGCTTGGACATGAGGAGTGATAAAGGGCAAAAATGTACTTTCAGGGGCCAGCCGGGTGGCGTAGCAGTTAAGTTCACACGCTCTGCTTTGGCTGGTTAGGATCTTCGGTGCAGACCTACGCACCACTTATCAAGCAATGCGGTGGCAGGCGTCCCACATATAAAATGGAGGAAGATAGGCACAGATGTTAGCTCAGGGCCAGGCTTCCTCAGCAAAAAGAGAAGGATTGGCGGCAGATGCTAGCTCAGGGCTAATCTTCCTCAAAAATATATATATATATATATGTATTTGTTTTCAGTGTTAAAAGTAAGGAGAAAGTAGAAGGATAATTTCTTAGATTTATTTTTTAAAATTTTGTTTGTGGATTTCTGTCTCTGTCTTATTGCTCTGCAGGTTGAGACACTTAATATTCCAATTCAGAAGGGAAGTGTGAACTTCTCTGGGCAATGACAGGCTGCTGTTTGCATTTCATTTTTAGGTATCTTGTAGAATGTTTTTCTTTCTCATTTCCAAAGAGATTTAGACCAGCCCACCTCCCCCAGTTAAAGTATATACTTTGATTAACTGCTAGATAACCCAATTTATGTACTGATTTTCATTTAAAAGACAGAATTCAACAGGTTAGCTTATGAAAATGTTTTACCCTGAGGCATACTGGAATGCAACCCACATTCTTCCATGTGGTTTCTTAATGGACTGACCCCTGAACAGACAGGAAATGGAAATATATCATTTTTATTTCCTGACAGTTGCCATCTCTCTTGAGTGGTACCATGTCTGTCTGCCTTCCATCATATGTGGAGTGGTGGAACTGAAAAAGGAAGATAATTCTGATTTTGGCAGGTCATGTGTTACAGGATTAGAAAAAATGGGCAGGTTTGAAAATTGTTGGGCTAAGCTTTCCCCTTGTCTAGAAAATACTACTGCTAATAAAAGGCAAGGCTGAGACACTGCATTTCAAAACTACCTTTTAAACTGGGATTATTGCATTTATACTGTAGCATTTTCATTCAAGCAAGATCCCAGTAAAATTCCAGTTACTTACTGTTTCTAAGTTTTCTCAAAAGTATATTGATTACTTTGCATAGGAATTTTGGCAGTTACATTGTTATGACATAAGAATATTTAAGACCAATTGAAATAGCCTTTTATAAAAGCCTAGGATGACGACTGTGGCTCTTATCTCACCAAATAAACAGGCAAAGTGTGTTTATCTGCACTCAGGTTAGTTAGTATGGACTTGATGCAATTTTTTAAAACTTCAGCGGAGCGCGATGAATTTGGCTTTATCACAATGGAGAATTTTTCACTGACCGCAGAATTTTAAAACATGGAGGGTGGGGATGGTGTGGTATTTCAGAAGAGAAGGAGGCTGAGTGTGGAGGCTGCCTGTGGGGTGTGTCACATTGATTTGCGTTGATTTGTTTTGTTCTTTGCAAAGAGTGAGGCAGCTCGTTGCCTTGCAGCTTTTCCGGGCTGGGAGGAAGAGTGTTGCTCTGATGCCTTCGTCTCCCATCAACCACATTGATACTGGAATTTGTTCCCTCTCTGCTTAGGTATCTCCATACTTTCTTGGAAAATTAAGTGGAAAAGATAGTGCTTCTTTCCCTTATGCCATCATTTTTACTGTACCCAATCTGTGACTTTAGGAGCACCAATTTTTAAGGGTAAGTCTCTGGGAAGCAGAGAGGGTTTCTTAAACATATGAGGGCTTCCTAAGGACTTGGAGACTTTAGGGAAAAAGGGCGGCTGGGGTTTGGGATGAAGAGATTCTAGAGAGCAGGACATAGTAAGATTGCAAATCTTTTACTTACCCAGAATCAAGATGCGTTTGGGAGTTAGAAATATAGAAACCGCTTGATTCTTTTGCCTAATTTACTATATAGTATTGCATCTATCAGTAATTCAGATCCTTGTGGGAAAAAAAGAAGTCATTTAAAAAAATTCACTCTAATATTATGCAAGATTATAACATCAGGAAAAGCTCAAGTTGATTAACACAGCAAAATAGCTTTTTGAAAGCACTGTTTGTATTTATTTTCTCAAGGCATTTCCATGGGCTCTGGGCTTCCTGGGTTGAATCTTGACGATTTGTTAGCGCTGTGACTGTAGACATCTGTCAGATGCAGATTACAGAAGCACTTATCTCTGTGAGCTTTTAGACAATTGCAGGGGAAGCATTTAGCATCGTTCCATACACTGAGTGAACAGTGCTCAGTAAATTTAGTCACTGTCATTTCTGCTAGGAATATTAGTGATGTACACTGTAGATGGCATATAAAAGTAATAATTTAAAAATCCCAAATGCAAATATAGATATTAGAGTAAAATCCACCCCCTGACTTACCTAGCAGTGTTTAGCTTATTAATTGAGGTGCCTACCCAAGGCACGCAGAACATATCCTACGAAAACTGGGCTAGACTCACATGAAGGAGGAGTGAAAAATTGGTGGAGGAAATAACAACCGTCTAAGCTATGCAGATGACACCACCTTGCTGGCAGAGAGCAGCAGTGACTTGAAATGACTTCTGACAAAAATGAAAGAAGACTGTGCCACAGCAGGACTGCATTTGAACATCACGAAGACAAAAATCGTGACTACAGAAGAACTACACAACTTTAACGTAAACAGTGAAGACATTGCAATTGTTAAAGAGTTCGTTTCCCTTGATTCGGTCATCAATTTAAATGGAGACTGCAGCCAAGAAATCAAGAGAAGACAGGGACTTGGAAGGGCAGCAATGAAAGAGTTGGTAAACATCATCAAGTGCCAAGAAGTGTCATTAGAGACCAAGGTCAAGATTGTCCACACCCTCCTATTCCCAATTACTATGGACGGGTGCAAACAGTGGACAGTGGAGAAGACTTACAGGAAAAAAATTAATTCATTTGAAATAAGATGTTGGAGGAGAGCTTTACGGACACCCTGGACTGCCAGAAAGTTGAACAAGTGGGTCCTAGAGCAAATTAAGCCTGAACTTTTGCTGGAGGCAAAAATGATAAAAATGAGGCTGTCCTACTTTGGGCCCATCATGAGAAGGCAAGAGTCTTTCAAAAAGACAATAATGCTGGGAAAAGTGGAAGGCAGCAGGAAAAGAGGAAGACCAAATATGAGATAGACGGACTCCATAAAGGAAGCCACAGGCCTGAGTTTACAGGAGCTGAGTAGGTCTGTTGAGGACAGGACCTTGTGGACATCACTCGTTCTTAGGGTCACCAGGAGTGGGAGCCGACTTGACAGCATGTAACAACAACCCAAGGAAGGTAAATGTGGCTTACCTTCCCCTCCACTGCCATGAAGGAGTCAAGGTAGAATTCACAAAGATCTGTTTATAGGGTCACCTGCAGTTACTCAGTCATGTTGATGCCCTAACCTCATCTTCCTGGGATAAAGAGGCGGTGAGTGGTATCATTTCTTCCATATTCTAGTCACAGATGCCTGCAATGCCTGGATAAACTTCTCAGAACGAAACCCCCTGACTCATTTGCTCCTCCTAACAACCCTGTAAGTCACGTAGGGCAGGGAGTGCTGAGTCCCAGACCAAGGCATGCTCCCACCATGACAGTTACTGAGTGCCACAGCTGGGCCTGAAATCCACATCAAGCTCCTGAGTTCAGTGTTGTTTTCACAGCACGTTCTTGCTTGCACGCTCGTTTTACAATACAGCGTAATAATGGAAAATTGGAGGTCCAGGAAGACCAACAGATCAGGAAACAATTACCATTGAAAAGATGGTTTATTACTCGCAGCTCCCCAGAGGAGGGGGCATGCTGTGCCATGAGGGGCTACATAGCGAAGCACTGGGATCAGTCCTGAGGCAGAGAGAGAAAGGGAAGCACTGTGGGCAAGAGCCTGTAGTGTGGCGTCTGCGGGAAGGTACAGGCAAGGCAGAGTGAGCAGGCCAAGGACCGCCCCTTTGGAATCATTTCAGCGGGCTGTGGGGCATAGGGCGTATCCCTGGTTGTCTGGTACCTGGCCCTGGAGTGATAGGACAGATGGATGGTGGCCCAGAGAGTGACAGCCCAATAAAAGAGGTGGTTGGGTGTGGGCTCTGGGTTAGTTGGTTTGTATCTGAGAAGCACACTCACATTTGAGTTGTTTACTGTCTCTGGGAACTGGCTGGCGCTGGGAGGGGCAGTCTCCAGGGTCAGCAAGGCTCTAGATATCAAAGCATCAGAACCCAGAAGATAAAAGGCATGGTTAATACAACATGGTCTGGCTTCATTTTCAACCTGAGCTTCTAAATCCCTTGAATAATTTTGGTGCATCCCAGGGAGAGCAGGTTCAGGAACCTGAGAGGATTCTGGGTCTGAGCCCCCAAGCTGACCTCTCCCTTCATTCTAGACCTCTGTTTACAATGTCCTGTTGGCGGTTTCATAGCCCCCCGTCCCGCCCCCCAAAGCTCTTCCTCAGTCTCTGCTTCCTGTCTCAGGTCATGGCATAGCTTTGCACCCATCTGTCAAGCTAGGAGTCTCAGCTTCCTGCTTCCCTCTCCCTGTTCCCCATGTGCAGTCTGAGACCTGTTACCCCGTCTTATCAGTGCGTCTTGACGTCAGTGAATTTGGCCATACAACTTTCCCTTTGGCCTGTGCTTTCCTCTAGGTCCACCTGTCCACTTGTCTCAGCCAAGATTCCCATGATTGAGTCTCAGCTGGCCTCCTACTCTCTCGTCTTTTTGTCCTTCACACAAATATTATCTTTCAGTGTCAGCCCTGTCACTTCTCTCCCTATTTAAGAACCTTGAGTGGCTTCCTGGTGATTATAGGTTCAAGTTCAAAATCCTGGGCGTGACTCATAATCAGACCCCAGTCACCCTGCTGACATGCGTGACACTCCCTTCCTGTGGGAGAGGTCAGCCACACCATGCCCCTGTCTGGCTCTCAGGCCATGGCTAGCTGCCACTCCTTCTCTCCTACTTGATAAAGGCCTGTCATCCCTAAGGCCAAGGGCATGTGTCAGCTCCTCCAAGAAGCCACCCTCAGCCTTTCTAACTGTAATCAGTCACTCTTTCCTTCACATCTCCTTTGTACTTCTTAGACACCTCCATTAGAGCAGTGAGCTCTTAGCAGCCTGGCTATTTTTGACCTGTGACTTTTTCATTACATCTTATTCGTCATCCATTCAGCAGATCTTTGCTGAGTATTTGCCTTCTACTAGGCATTGTGCCAGGTGCTGAGAATGCATAAATGACTAAGATAGACCCTGTCCTCAAGAATCTAACAGTCACCTTGGAGAGAATGGGGATCAAAGACCTGACCAGACAACCTTGTGAGTGTCTGATTATAATTAAAATGTGATACCTGCTACGATCGGTGGATCAACGAAGTTCTGTAGGCACAGAGAAGAAGGAACTCCATCAGGAAGAATCGGGAAAAGCTCCAGAAGTGGCATTTGAGATGGATCTTGACAGATGAGGATGCATTTATTGAGATGGACAAGCAGTGAGAGGTGGCGAAGGCTGGCAATGTGGCGGACCTTTTCTTTCCCTGGGAGCCCAAGTGTGAAAAGTGGTATCAGTGTGGAAAAATGTTCAAACCAGTTTTCCTTTTTCTCCCTTAAAGAGTGGAATATTCCCTCCAGGTGCCCTTGATTAGGTATTCTTGTGTTTCTCAGTCTTACATGTGGCTCAGGGGAGCTGGCAGCCAGACACCACTGTCTGCATTTCCGAAGGTTTGTAAATTCAGTGAGAAAAACATTTACATAGCACATCTCCCACGCGAACCCAAAACTCGCACCCCCAGAATTAACTGCTTTCGGAGATGTGCGTTTTCACACGGCCCTCCTCTTTACAATTAGATTTATTATGTTAGTACTGGAATTTGAGGCAGTTTTCAAAACTTTCTCTACCGAGAAGTTTCCTATATTAATGGGCCTTCGAAAAGTCCCCCTGGCTGAGTGCCAGAGAAATGTGAAACGTCTTGAAGATTCAAATAGTTCAGCCCCGCTCTTAGCTGTCAAGCGCGCTGTGGAGTCAAATAACCCTTGTTAAAGGCTGGCTCTGCCGCTCTCTGGTGTGTCCCCTCGGGGAAGTTATTTAACCTTTTGGAACCTTAGTTTCTTTCTTGGTAAAATGCAGAGTAAGATGCAGCTTTCCTGGTAGGAGTGTTATGAGTTGAAGATTAATCAAATAATGCAGTATGGTGAATGGTGCAATGCCTGGTGGGTAGTCAGTGCTTAATAAATGGAAGGTGGATTTTTTTGGTGCTGTTGTTATTAAAGTTATGCTCAACCAATGCTTACCTGGGCTGGAGAGATGTCTTAGGTAGATACTAAATTATCAGTTTCCGTAAAATGAGGCAGCATTAAGAGAGATGAGAAGATGAGAGGTGGCAGGGGTGGGGGGGGGGAACATCACCACTCTTTTTTGTCTTTGTATGTTTTTGAACTGTTGCTAAAACACTTCTAAAAACAGCATGTTGCATGTCATTATTGGAAAGCTGAAATAAGGGGTGGAGACATTTGACATTTTTTTTCCTCTATCTTCATTTTTTGTTCGTCCGACTCCAGTTTTCGGTTTGACAGATGTGCTTATAAGACTTTAAGTAAAATCATGCCTTTTAGTCCAGATAGACATCCATTCTCACTTTCTCATCTGTACAATATTCCTCCTCCTAGAGGGTTACTTAGCGTGTGTCTGTGTGTGTCCAGGTGTGTTTCCTGAAAGGAAGCGGTGCTGTGTTTAGAGTTTGGGGTTCTTAATTAGAAATCTAGTTAAGCTGTGAAATTACTATGGAATGAGTGGTTATAGCTAATTAGTGCAATCCCCTGTTTCTGTCTGAGCTGAATTTAACTCACAAACAGAAATGTTTGCCTAGCTTTCTAGTAAAAAGACACTTTCCTTTGTAGGAACATTAATTGCCTGACATTTACATTTTTATAAGGATTTCTAGAAATAGCAATGAAAATCTATGCAAAAAAATAGATTTATATTATCGCTTCCTGTTCTTCTCATTGAGAATATCATTCTCTATTACCTTTGGTCATTTCTGTGCTTTCTTCTCATCTACCCATGTAGGAAGAACGTTGGCGAAAAGCACAGAAACCAGTGACTTGTATGGCTGTGGAATTTCCGTGGAGAAAAGAGAGCATCAGAACCCACCTGGACCATCTTTCGGACCTGGCCAACCCTCCACACTCCCAAGAGTGTTCGTGAACTTGGGTGCCTAAGTGTTGAGGATGCTCACAAAGGAGGAGCACACCTGGGCTGCGGCCGAGGGGTGGGGGGGAAGAGCCGAGGGAAGGGTGGGAGGATATGGAGCAAATGTTTTACAACCTGAACCTCAGAACTGTGATCCTCCAAGGAGAGCGCTACTTGAAGAAAAGGAAAAAAAAAGTCGAATGGCTTCTCAGGGATTTTGTTTTCCGTGCACATATAAGCCATAGTTCCAGTGCAGGTGGCAGTATTTAGAGCACTCAGATTTCAGTTCTGTTAAATGTGAAAGAGGGATCGACTGACCATTCATTGCTGTTCCATAACTAGTGTAAAATATGTATATGTTTTATCTTTATTTTTATAATATGCAAATACATTTAAATTTATACAGTTTGAAGCTTCTAGCGTTAGTTAACACTGGGTGCAATATTCTGCATGAGAACTGTGCCAAGATGGGGCTGATTTCTTATTTTAGCGTAAGACCTTTTTGTTCATTCTTTGTTCTTTAATCCTTCTCAGATTAAAAAAAAAAGATATCTGTCTGCCCGTGGAGTAAACGTTGGTTCACAGAGGTTGTCAATAATCTGCAAGAACCTTAAACATGCATTTCAGGCAAACGTGCATTTCCCTCCCCTGCTTTTAAATAAAGGTCCCTTTATTTATAAGGGCACACCATCGGGCAGGATAATGGGATTATTCCTTTTCTTTACCCCACATGTCACTAGTGCCGGGCAGTGTCCTTTCCTGCAGGTTTGGTGTTGACCATGGGTTGTCACAGGTGATGTGCTGATGGAGGCCTGGTCTTAGGATTCTCTAGTAAGCGGGGTAAATGGGTCAGCAAGTCTTTCAATAGCTTAAGCTAATCAGGAGTCAGTGCTAAAGCATGCCAAGAGCTCTGCTCCTAAGTCCTTTTTTTTTCTAGAACAGTCTGTGAAATTTCGCAGAGCACTTTGAAAGCCCTCCACATCTGGCTGTCAGACCTTAAGATAGTGAGCTGCCTAATTGGAGAGCATAATCCCACATTGGTTATTTATAAATACAGAGCCTCTGATTGGACTGTTGACTGCCCAGAGCTAGTAAAAGCCGTGTTTAAAAATCTCCACAAAGTAAAACTTAAAAAGCAAACCAAACAAATTGCTGTCTCTTCAACTTTTAATTGGGGCCAAACAGCGTCTGCTGCAATGGTAATGCATTCTCTGAAGAATGTAAAAGACCCTTTACGTCTGCCTCCTTCATGTGTTGATTGAAAATGTGTAAAACTGTTTCTCGCCAGGTTAGTAAGACAAGAAAAGGGAGTCAGCTAGTAGTATTCTGTTACTTCTTTTATAAAGTATTGACTCTTAGAATGCCACAGTATACAAAGTCTCAGCTTATTTTTAAGAGAAATAACAAACAAGCAAGCAGCCGCATTGTAAAAACTCACAAATCGGTTTTTCTAGTTAAACCAGTATGATTTCTTATGATCACAAAATCGAATGAGATCAGACCATTTCTGTGTTTTTTACTACTTGAATATGACGCCTCAGATTTGAGATTTCATTTTCTTTTTGAACCCATTCTCAAGATTAATCTGGTTAGTCCTTTTGTCACAGTTCTCGTGTGCGTGCGTGTGTGTGTATAAGTGTAAACCGAATGATAACATTTAATTGCTTTATGGACCATTGAATTGTTGGGCATAAAAATTTTTTAATTGGCATGAGACAGTTCCTAAACTGTCAAATTAACCGACTTTGACCCGTCTTTTGAAAAAAGACTCTGAAGTGTCTGACTTCGGGCTAACTCCCCAGAGGACCATATGAAATGAAAAAAAAAAAAATGCTCCTTTGGGTGACATACCCTGCAAAGTATTTGCTGTTACTATGAACATAAATGCCCATGTTCTTAATATCTGCTCTTTTTTGACAAGTGACATCTTGTGCTGTCATCTGAACCCTAGAGAAGCAGTGTAAGAAGAAATCTTGGTGTCACATGTGTTTTAGCAAAAAGGTCATGACGATAGAGGATCATGTGACTGAAAGAAGCTCCAGAAAAGCTTGAGAACTTGCTTCAGGGTCGGGAGGAGGGTTGGAGATCCAGAAAACACTCTGCTCTACGAGAATTTTCGCCGTCTATGCAGGAAACTCACTCTTCTCTCTCGACACCTGGGAAGACTCAGCCAGCGGAGGCTGACAGGCAGTTCAGTAAGCACAACGGGGTCTTTTCCAACCAAGTGGTCCCCTGCCTCGCAAACAGACGCCCTCCAAGTTTGTTATGGTTTCTATTCCTGCAACTTGTGGTATCAGAACCACTTCCTGGAATTGTGAAAGTGCTGCCAGAATAAATGTTTTTCCTCCTTCCAAGAAAAAAAATGACAGTGCTCATATTTGACACTTGTGCTTTGGACTCTTGTGAATGAATAAAAAGGAAAGGGTTGGGTGTAATTCCCGATGGGGTGTGTGTTCTTTTTCATGCCACAGTTTGTGAATTGTAATTGTGGTTTCCCATTTAATTGTCGTAACTGGGCAGAAATTTAAAAAAAAAATCAAAAAAGTTCAATAAAAATACAAAGGAATGGTTAAGCAATTGTATTTCCAGAGTTTAGTTATTTCTGGGTTTTTTTTTTTTTTTTTCGTTTTATCAGTTAAAGAATAACTACTTATTTTTAGTTCTTAAGTCACTGTTGAGCTATGGGAGGTGGATGGTGGCAGCTGTGGTTGGGGATTGAGTCCCCAAGATGAAAACTGAAGAGTGCCTGTTTAAAACTCTGCCTCTGTTTTCAGGCTGCGGGTTCAACCCTTGAATATCGGCTCTCTCTCTTAAATCAGATCCTTTTGCCAGTGTTCTCCTATACCCCTAAATCAAAGCCTGTGAATTGAAGAAAGGTTTGCAAGTTCCCTTGCTCTGAACTTTCTTTCCAGGGCTCTTGGCAGAAGTCCTGGCCACCACCTTGTAAATATTCCCTGGGGTCCAATTCTCAGGCTGAAAGAGCTGACCTCAGGTGCTGGGTCAGAGGCTCTGTTCCCCCTGTTTTTTTAAAAGGACAGTTGAGAAGGAAAAGAATGTAGCTGCTTTGTCTAAGAGCAACAAGCCTTTAGGAAAGGAGCTAGAGCAGAAGAGCCGGCCCTGAGGCACTGGGGCTTTGGGGGCACAGAGAGGAAGAGGCCCCCTCAACCAGGCCTGCCTCATTGTAAGACTCCTGAGAAGGTGGGTGAAGCCATTGGGTGCCCTGAACCCAAACGTACTTCGGCCAGCTCTGCTAGAGTTTTCAAAAGAATAGCCGAACGAGGTGTGCCCCATGTGGACAGGCTTGCTCTTCTGCCTGTGCCGGGGGAAGCAGAGGGCCACTGCTCTCCCTCCTGTGGAAGAGAGCAGGAGGAACAGACATCATCGCTTTGGGCCTGGTTTTCCTTTACCGAGAATCAAGTTCTTCAAACTTGCTGAGCAGGTCACAGATAAGCGGGTGTCAGTGGGGACAATTAGAAGTGCATAATTTATCACATAGATCATTCCCTCCCAAGGCTATTTCTCCTGCTTAATTGTGAGCTTTTTGAAGTAGATTCCAAGTTTTGCTTTGAATACACAATGCCTGACAAGTGGTGGCTGCTTGAGTGCTAAATTCAAACGCCCAGGGTTTCCTTGCCCTGTGACTGTTTACATGCTTACTTACGTGCTTACGTGACTGCTTATGTCACCCAGTGGTACTGGTAACGACACCTAGTAGGACCTGGTGCTGTGACACCAAGTAGGGAAGGGATGGGAGTTACCGGAAGAAGTTTTATAAAACAGGTGACCCTTTGAAGTTATCTGAGTCTGATGGCAGGAGAAAATTCACCTCATAACAGAAACCCTATTTGAATATTTAAGCTTCAGTAAGAAGTATTTTCTTCATCTTTATATGCAAGAAATATTTTTGTATGACATGAATTTCATTCTAAATACTGAGACTAACTCAGGATTTCCCAAACTGCCCCCTGAAACATTCGTGTCTCCTGAGATGCTCACCCATGTTCCTCTGTGAAAGGTTGGAGATAAGTCGGTTCGAACCTTTTAGGTGTCGATATCAGTTGTGAATGTCCAAGATGGAAGGAGAATGTGCATTTCCACACGTGTATCTGAGTGTGGAAGGAAGCTGTCCCAGGAGTCATCTGTGGACATCCTCTGACACCAGTGTTGCTGAAGCATGGGACGTGCTCCACCAGTGCAACCCGGGGCGAGGCAGGCATAGCATCAAATGACGAGAGCCCCTTCTCTTTGGAGGCACGTTATGTTACTGGCAGGCAGGATGGCATGATGGTAAGAGCCCCCGCCCAGACTGCCTCGGTTTGAATCCTGCCTCTGCCATCTAGCCTCCTTGTGCCTCAGTTTCCTCACGTGTACAATGGAGGAAACAATCTACCTCCTACAGTTGTTTCGAATATGCAATGAGATACCACGTGTCAAGTGCTTCTGACTGTGCCTAGCACTAGTAAGCACCAATCAAACATGACTAATCTTATTCTCTTTCCTTGCATAGTTCTCTTTTTTTTTTTACCAAGAAAGCAGGCCTCAAGCTCTGAGTCTGTAACATTATCTAGCTAGAATTTTTAACAATTTTCATTTTCATCATATTTACTAGTTGGTTATCTACATTAGTGATAAATGAATGCATTTAGAAAGAAATATCTAAAAATACATTAGGAAGAAAAATATTAAGTAAGTGCAGGTGGTACAAAGAGGACAAAAATGGTGAGTATATGGCAGAAATTATGAAAATGGCATGTGACTGCGCACTGTAAAGGAGGGAGGGACACAGTCTAATGCAACCCACAGAGAGACCAGGCAGTTTTCCCGTGAGTCTTAAAGAGCCCAAAAGCTTTAAAAGATACTTCCCCCAGTTTTAAAATTTCTGCCAGAAAAACAGTGAAAGATTAAAGAAGAATTGTTATATTATTAGAAAATTAGTATTTCTTAAATTTGAAATTTAAAATAAGTTCTACTGCTTCTTAAATGTTGCTTTCATGCAGCCAAAGACTTTTCGTATAAATTCAACTCTGAAATGTGAATGGGAAAGTTGATTTGATTTGTGAAATCTTTAATGTCTTTTTAGAAGACCCTTCTAGCTGGAACACTTTTTTTCCTGAATATTTTCCTGAAGCCACACTGAAAAAGTGAACTCATGTTTTCACTCATCAAAAATAAAAATGAAAACCCACTAACCGATTCGGTACGAGTAGAAGAGAACGAATTGCTTGGATTTATTTTATAGTCACTCAGTACTTGAGAAATCATGGCATGAAATTAAGTTGGGTACAGGCCACATGCCCAGTGAGTGTCAAGGGTAGATGTAATGCCCGGCACACTAGCAATGCATTCACTCATTTTCTCTCCTACTCCAAAAAGCATGCCAAGATGGCAGATGAGCAGAACTTACGGAGTGACAGACTAAGGAGCTCGGTGGGAATTCTCCCCAGGGGAACTAAACTGGGAAAATGGTTTTTAAAAAACCCCAAAACACAGTCAATCATTTGAAATTTCTGGAAATTGTCCTAAGGACCTACAGCAAATGGAGAAATATTCATTCAAGAAAATATACTATTAAATAGAAGATCAGCCAGAGTCTATGACATTTGAGCCATGACGTCCCCACCTGCTCTTTCTTCATAGCTCCATGTTCCAGAAATGCCATCCTAGGTCCTCTTTTCTGGGCAGACATGGCCAGGAAGATGGAGATTCTCTCTCCCCTCAACTCCTGTCTGGGGCTACAGTTGCACCATGAGAGAGACAGGCTGCTAACAGAAGCTCTATTCCAGGCAGGAGTGGCTGAGAGGAGTAGGGCATCCTTCCAGTTGCAGGCTGAAGCTTCACGGCAGGCAGGACAGGCCAAGAATACTGGGGGCTCAATCGCCCCTGCCACAATAGAGTGGAGATGCCACCACAAGAGAGGAAAGCCAAGAAGACCAGGGGCTACCTCTTCTTCCTCTCTCAGTGCCTACTTGTAGAGCAGGGATGTCATTCTCAGAAAACGAGGGTCCCCACCCTCAGTTCCAGTGCACAGGCATGGGGGTTTGCCCAGAGGAAACGCAAGCCATAAGGGAAAAGATCACCCCAGCTCTGCCTGAGGAGACTGACTATATTTGGAACAGAGCCCGGAGAACTGCATGCCTAAGGCTGTTCTCGAAGACAGTGGAGATCTTGATGGAGAGTAATAAAGGAGGATGGTAGCTCAGGATGCAAGTAAAACAGCAGAGCAGCCAGAAGTTTAACAGAACCAGGGAAAGAGCCAAGAGGAGCCCTCTTGGGATCACAGTCAATTCTGGGGGTGCTCTAGGCTGCACCCACTCAGGAGTAATGGAAGCCAGACAAAGTAATCAAAGCATCTCCAAGCCACACACAGACCCATCATCGCAAGGCAGAGCCTCACTGGCACAAGGGCCTAAACACAACTTCTGAGTTAAGCTACTCCAACCCAATAGGCTACTCCAACCCAGGGGCTGCTCCTGGGAAGCCAGGCCAGGCTTGTAACTAAAATCACACTCATTCCTGGAAGACTGTGCATGTCCAGGGCTGGGTCCTCTCAGGAGTGGTCAGAGAGCGAACTCCAAGCTGCTAGTCCTTGGCTGGATGTGGAACCCAAAGATGTGAACTCCCTGAAGTGCAATAACGACCTACAAGCTAAATACACATCCAACAGGAAAGGGTAAAGATCGAACTGACAAAGGGAGTTAAACACAACTTTGACCAATGAGTGAGGTATGCGGACCCAGGGGCTAGCCCTAGGTGGCTAGGCTAAAAGATAAAAATAGCAGAAAAAGATCTGAGCCTCAAAGAGCCCCAGTAAAGGAGATTATGTAGGTAATGATAAAAACTGTATAATTGCATATGTCTTCTCCTTTCTTCTCTTGACTGATTTAAAACAATGGCACAAAGCAATATGTATATAATTGTTTTGTTGGTCCTATAACATATAGAAATGTAACGTACTTGACAACCAAAGCACAAAGGAGGCAGTGGATCCAAGCTACATTGGAGTAGTGAAATGACACCAGATGGTAGCTGAAATCCAACAGAAGAAATGAAATGAGCCAAAAGGGTAAATAAGAAAGTTATTATAATAAATGTTATAGAATATACTTCCACTTCTTTCTTTGCTCAGCTTCTTTAAAAGACATATAAAGCTGTAGTTATAACGATGCATTGTTTTTGTAACATATGTAGATGTGATATGTATAACAATAATAGCACAAAAAAAGGGTGGAGGGAATGGAGTTACATAGGAGTAAAGTTTCTCTATTTCATTGCAACTAAGCTAGTCTAAGTCTGAAGCAGATTCTGGTAAGTTAAGATGTATATTGTAAGACTTAGAGCACCCCTTAAGAAAATAATTCAAAAATATATTTAAGAAATTGTTAAAGGAATTAAAATGTTACACTAGAAAATATCCACTTATTGCAAAAGTAGGCAGTACAGGAGAAATAGAGGAAGAAAAAAGGCATGCAACATATAGAGAGGAAAATCAATGTGGCAGATGTAAATCCAACCATACCAGAATTTAACATTAAATGTACATGGACTAAACAACTCAATCAGAAGACAGAAATTGTCTGATTGG